CTACAGAGAAACCCTGTCTAGAAAATCCAAAAAAAAAAAAAAAACAGTCTCTAAATGAACCCTTCTTATCAGTTTTGAGCTGACATTGAGTACAGGAAAAATAAAGCTATCAGCTTTGAGATTTTGATAGCAGAATATTGTTTTGGTTGACTTGTGCATATGTACAGTAACAGATTTGGGACATAATCAGCACCAGATAGATAATTGTTCATTTAATTGATGAATAAACATAAATTCAGGGATATTCTGAAACTGTTGTATTTCCCTGCATAAGGTGTTCTAAACATAGCTATGAAGTTCTCAGTGTTCACGTGTGGGACCGAGGTAACCAGTGGAAATTGCTCAGCTTTGGTGCTATTCACCATGTCTGGGACTGATGTTTCCCATGTTTTCCTTAGTCTCTGACTCTTATCCCATTTCCTATTTAGTTTGAATCGCTTTGGAATTTTGCAAACACATTTTCCAGTTGATAGCTGCAATTCACACTTAGATTCCCATGATGACTTCATATTATTATCCCTCAGTGCTTAGTCAGTAGGAACTGCATTTCTGTTGTCTTCTAGGTGAGTCCCCACTTCATCAGCAAGATAATGGAAATTCTCATTAATGACACTTTTATAAGTAGCAATAAGAATTATTATTAAAAGTATATGAACCATGTCAATACACTTTCCTCCCTGTCTACTATAGGAGGTCATGGTGGCTGTGGAGGTCTTCTCCATTTTGGTCTCTAGTGAAGGGTTGCTAGGGTGTAACTTTGTCCTAAAGTGTTACATTATTTTGATAAGACCAGATTCAAATTCTCTTATAAAGTACAGGTATAAATTGCTTTATTGAAACTTAAATAGTTTTAAGTTTTTAGATCATATACAGTATATCTTTATCCTTTATCTAAACAAGAGTACTACTAAGCTATACAAAAATATTAAGTAATGTACAAAGTTAGTGCTTTCAACATGGGACTATTAATTACTAAGTTATGGTGAAAATAGTTCCAATCTAAGTGCCTCTTTCTTCTTGAGATGATTGGGTATTGTGAAGGAAATTATTAGCGTTTCCAGTCTTGCTATTATGCTGCTTGATTTTTGTCAGTTTTGCACAAACCTAGACACATTGAGAACAGGGAATTGAGGAATGGCTACCATTGGTTTGGCCTGTAGACATGTGTGTTGCATGTTCTTAACTAATGATTGATATGAGATGACCTTATGGCCTGTGGACAGAGCCAACACTTGGGAAGTTGTTCTGAGAGTTGTAGGAATGAGAGAGCTGTGGCTATCACGGAGGTGAAACCAGTAAGCATCATTCTTAAATGGACTCTGATTGAATTTCCGCATCCATGGGCATTCCTTGGCTTCTATCAGTGAAGTTGGCCCAAAGTATATAAGTAAATAAACCATTTTATCATATGTTGCTTTTGATCATGGTATTTTGTTACAGCAACAGAAGCCAAGACATCAGCAAGGCAGTAAACTGCCTCAGCTGGGATTTGGAACATAATAGACTACTGATGCAATAAAAGGAAGTGTTTTGAAAAGATTAAATTAAAAAAAAAGAAAAGATTAAATTAAGATTAACATTAAGAGGGAATGTTAGCAAAATGTGGAGTATAGCAACAACATTACATATTGTGAATGGCCCTCACATCAGTGCTGGAATTTGAATCAGCTTTAATTCAAAGGGATGTTAGGAATATTAGCTAACATACTAAGAAGGACACAGTTTATGAAAAGGAAAATGAGGTTCAGATTGTGCCTAAAGTAATGGACCTTGCGTTCTATGTGAAAACATCATTTCATTGAGAACTGGACAACAGCGAGAGAGATCCACAGTGAAAATAATGGCATCCATAATACTTTTTCAACAACAAGGTCAGGGAAGTCTGTGAACACATAAATCACTCCAGCTGAAGGCTCTTTGTATTGATTTTTATCAAATAGGAGCTACTAAATTTTTTGAGCTTAACATTATCTCTCTCTCTCTCTCTCTCTCTCTCTCTCTCTCTCTCTCCGCTTACACACACACACACAAATTCTGGGATCAGTTGTTGAAGATCAGTGTCATTTTTTCTCAAATTTTGTTAATTATTTTGTTGTTATTAACTGTTATTTTGTTTATTTTGGGGATTGTAATATAATTGTTTCTCTATTACCTTTCCTGTCTCCCAAACCCTCTTATTCCCATCCTTGCTCCTACAATACACATGGCATCTTATTTCATTAACTGTTATTGCGTGTATATACATGTTTGTGTATACATATACATTTCTAAATATAAACTGTAGAGTCCATGTAAATTACATGCATTTATGTTGTCAGGGATCATTTTTTTGGCACTAGGCAGCCAATCTGTGTTCCCTTCCCTTGTGGTCAAAACTTTTCCATCCCTAGATTTACCAGTTTTCCTCTAGATGGGCGTGCAGGTGTGAGGCCTTGTGAGCCTTGTTCCTTCCATTTTGGCATGCTCACTGTGGTGATGTTTCCTCGGATCATAGTTTGGGAGTCATGATTGTAAGACTTTTTGGTATGCCTTCTACTCTTCCTAGGATACATATGCTCATAGCAAGCTCCCTCATCCTCTGACTTTCAAGATCTTTCCCAATGTCATCTTCATTTTCCCTGAGCCTTAGATGTGGGAACATTTTGTAAGCGGATCCATTGCTGTTTGTAAAGGTCTATGTTGAAGTGGAGGAATCAGGGTGGAGCTACTTCCAGGTGGTCTTTATTCCCTTCACTTTTTTTTTTCTGGGAGCATGGACTATAGTTTCTAGCAACTTAAATGATAGTCAGTGGAGGTCAAGCTAGACATTCCCATATTTTATAACATAAGTAAATTTTATCTTTATGATTCTCTCCTTACCACCAGGTTGTATAGAGCAAACCAAAGCTTGTTTGCAATCCAAGCCTGTCAAAAAAAGAGAAAATCAATTTTCTTCAATAGAGGGCCACTGGTTGTATCAGTCACACTACAGGAAAGGCCCCTGCCTTTTATTTATTTTTTTTAATTAATTTATTTATTTATTATGTATACAATATTCTTTCTGCGTGTATGCCTGAAGGCCAGAAGAGGGCACCAGACCTCATTACAGATGGTTGTGAGCCACCATGTGGTTGCTGGGAATTGAACTCAGGACCTTTGGAAGAGCAGGCAACGCTCTTAACCGCTGAGCCATCTCTCCAGCCCCCCCCCCCCCTGCCTTTTATTGTAGTTAGTCAACACAAAACAAATTTTATATGTTAGTGTGTGTGTGTGTGTGTGTGTGTGTGTGTGTGTCTGGGTGGGATTTGTTATTTTGTTCTGTTTAGGGCACTCTTTTGTCTTACTGGGTTTTTGTTTGTTACAATTTTCACTTTATGATTTGCTAAATTTTTTTAGGAGAAAGAAGAAAAATCAAGAAATTGGATGCATAAAAACGTGGGGAGAATAGGGTTAGTTTGTGGAGGAGAAAATATGATAAAATGTATTATTTGATAAAATGTAATTAAAATGTTGTTTTGGTTTTTATTTGTTTGGTTTTGATTTTTTAATTTATTAAAAAAACATGAAAGATAAATTTCACTCTCCAATCAATGCACACAATCTCCTCTTTTTCCCCAGTGCAGTTTTGGATGGACACACTGTCAGGAAGAAAGAGTAACATTTGCCATTAGACAGTGTAGCTATTGCTGTGTGCAACTGAAAGCAATGAGCAAAGGACCTACATTTTCATTAAGGTGATTTCAATATTCTTCCCTTTTCTAGAAAAAAATGGGTGAACATAATGAATACATTTTAGGTTCCATTTAAATTAATAGGGGAACGTTTTGACAATGATACAAAAATGTTATTGTGTTAAAAATACCTTGGAACCTGATAGATGATTCCCAATTATTCCAAATAGTTACGATAAACCTGTGAAGTATACACACTTTTGTTCAGTTTTCTATAATCCAAAACTTTATTCATTATAAAGTTTCTAAAATTATGATGATCTTTTGGTCACCCAAAAATACAGTCAAAAAAGAAAAATATTCATGCCAACAAAATCCTATCTGTTGTGTTCTTCAACTTACCTGAAAATAGAATAAATAGCCCTAAATTGGGACAATAACACTTAATAACATTGTTATCTTTGTGTATTTACATTCTTGCATAAAGTGCCTTTGGGTTCTTAACTTAGAAGGGCTTCAGTCAAACATACAGAATCTGAACTCTGGTTAGGAATAGGTTGCTATTGGCTTCAGGATTTAGAGCACTTTTTTAAAAAAAATCTTTTCTCATTTTACATACCAATCCCAGTTCCCACTCCCTCCCCTCCTCCCATCCCCTCCACCTCTTCCCCACACACATCCACATCCCATCCCATGGGGGAGTCAACAATGTCTAGCACATTGCTGTGAGGCAGGACCAAGGCCCTCCCCACTATATCTAGTCTGAGCAAGGTATCCCTCCAAAGAGAATGTGTTTCCAATAAGTCAGTACAAGCGGTAGGGATAAATCCTGGTCTCACTGTCAGTGGCCCCGCAGTCTGCCCCAGTCGTACAACTGTGAGGGACTAGTTTGGTCCTCTAATGGTTCCTTCGCTGTCAGGCTGGAGTTGATGGCTTCCCTTAGCTCAGGTCAGCTCTTTCAGTGGGTGTCCCCATCATGGTCTGGACCTCTTTGCTTGTCTTCTCACTCATCCCACTCTGATAACGGACTTTGGGAGCTCAGCCCGGTGCTCCGCTGTGGATCTCTTTAAAAGCAAGAACCCCCCTAGCTAATTCTTATGATGTTTCTCCCGTGTGTCCCGGGATCCACCGAAGGGGTGGAGGAGAGCAGGCGCGCGTGGGGCGTCGCGGTGCGACCTGGGAGGCGCTCGGCCGAGGCCCCGCCCCTAGTCGTGTCAGCGCTGCGACTCCGGAAGAGCGCGCCAGTGCAGTGCGCATGCGCGTGTTCGGGCGCACTCGGAAGTCGCGGCTGCGTCGGTTGAAACCGTCGCCAGGTTTCCGGATGTCCTGTTGGTCGGCGAATGCTGGTCTCGCGGCTGGTAGGGCCCTGGGTGATGTAACCGGGTTGTTTAGCTTCACCTTTGGGATAGTGTGCAGAAAATGCGTTGTGTGTCGCTGGCAGCGTTAGCCCGCTGTGCACAACCCGCCCAGGGGCTGACTGGTTTGGGAGGTGCGTCCCCACGTATGTTAGTGATGTTGGTGGGTGCCTCTGACAAAGGTTTCAGAAGAAAGATTCTCTAGGTTATTTACGAGTTCGAGGAGAAGCTTTTGGTACAAGGTGCATGCACATTTTAGAATTTGCCAAGGTATTACATAACAGAAACCAAACTAGCTCCGCCCATTGTCTGTATATTTTAAAATACCGTACCGTGGTGAAGTTAGTGAGACTTTTCACAGATTTTTGTTGTTGTTTTGAGTGAGTGTTTATGTATCTTTTGCTGTCCTGAAATCGTCTATGCTGACCATGTTCGCCTCGAACTCACAGACATCCACCTTCTTTTGGCTCTTAATGCTCGAATTAAAGGCGTGAACCATTACGCCGGGCTACAGACCTTAAAACTGGGTTTTAGGAGTACTTTTAATACAAAAGCTAAGTGAAGAGTTGTTAATTCCCTTTCAGCCCCTTAGACATGTGCTATGTGTTTATAATTGCAGTAAACTTGTATTCTTCTGTTACCTCCACCCAAACACTGAAATTAACGTATTAAAGAAAGCAAAACCAAAATTATGTCAAAGACATTTAAGGAAAATTATGGACTATACTTTGGATAAAATGTTACTCTCTGTGTCCTCCGCGGCTATTATCGGCTTGAACTTTCTGTTTCTGTTTGAATGTTATTGGACATCATTATGAAGCGGGGTTTTTGTCCCTTCATCTAATAAAGGAATTCTAAGGGATTGTGGAAGTTCAGCCACTGAATAAATTGCAGAAACTCGGTTTTAGATCTGTGTAGCAGGGAAGTGAATATAGCAAGATGTATATCCATGTAAGTTAACTCAGATTGCATTTTCCTCCTAAAAACTATGCACATACTTTATATTTAGTATCTTTATGAGAGCACTTAAAGTAGGTTTTTATTTTTGCCACTACAACTGAGTTTGATATTTCAATGCTTATTCATGATTTTCCAACTTTCACTTAGCAAACAATTATTGTTTGTGATATACTAGACTATGTTTCTGAGGTACAAAGATAATCTAGTCACCATACTAAAGGTGATATTAATTAATTACCTAAAAGTGATTTTAATGAGGAACAGTAGCACTTTAATATATGAACATTACAGAATTTTTGTTTTGATGGTTAGATTATGAGAGATGAGCTGGACTTCGGGGTAACTGTATTTTAGTTTTTTGGGATGATGAGAACAATCGTGTGCTGAGGAATTTGGATGCTATATTAGCGATATGGGAGTCTCACACCAGATATGAGCAGGAGAAAGACATGACTCACTTTGAGTTTAAACCACTCTGTCTCCTGCACAAAGAGTTTATGGTGTAGATATGGAATAGTCAGTGCCGTGGAAGAAACCCAACTGGGCAGTGGCAGTTGTGTAGGGAAGAGGTGATCGCTGATTTCTGTTGGTGGTAAAAGGGACAATGGGCATAGGTGGGTAGAAAAGAATAGCAATCTAATGCCAGGAACAACAAAGTTTGGCAGTTACTGCTTTCTCTATGCCTGGTGACATCTTAGATATTGAGTGATTATCACAAAGCTTTATGATGTCGGTGCTTTATACCTTATCTCTACATCTGGAGATACTGTATTTCAGAAGGGTTAAGTCATTTTCCTGAGGTCAGATAGCTCATAAGTGTTAGAGATGACATTTAAACAGTTGTTTTTCAGACTTGAGATAAAAATCAAGAGTTAAAGGTCTTGGAAGTCAATTAGACTACAGAGTCAGTGAGTTCAGGAAGCATAACTGTCTGTAACTCCCGTCTGTTCTGGGCAAGATGAGAGGAGATTCACATTTAAGCCCTGAGTTCAAGTCTGGATATGTTCATGAAGACTTTGGTATGGGACCGTCTTGGCCTGCCTCTAACTGTCGTCTTGGGCTTTGCTCTTCTGTCCCTTTCCAAAGAGTAGAAGGTGGGTTTGGTTTTGTTTCTTTCTACTCTCTTTTCCAGCCACACTGGGCTTTCACCAAATGCACAGGCTTGTTTCCCTATTCCTCACATTTGTTCTGCATGACTGATCCCCGTGCTTAGCAGCTTCTGCGTGCCCTGTATTTTTCTAAAGCCATTTCTTGGACCCCAAAATCCATTAAAAGTGCTCCATAAATTTTCTCTCAGGTACTAGGCAGTGTCTGCCTTTTGCTTTAGATGAAGCACGTCTCATCGTTTCTGTCTTATCAGTTTCTGTTAATTATGTTAAGTTCTGGAATGTAATGTGGAAGAGTATTGTTGAGCATCGACTTTTAAACTTTTTCCAATAAATGAAACAGATACCCATGTGGATGTTGACAAAGAGTCCATGGTGTGTGTGAAAGAGATTTTCATATGCGTGAGAGTCAGAAGGAATTATGAAACACTTTGTCTGTACTTTTGACTAGATAACTATTTTTTAAGCTGCCAGGCTGGAGCAGAGATAGACTGTGCTTGTTTCTTAGGTGTTGACTGGCGTGTCCTAGTTGATGAGGTTTTCATTCCACATTTGGGATTTCCTTCCTTTTCAATTGCCATGGGATCCTAAAAGCAAATTTTCTTTGATTTTGTAAGATATACTGTTAAATGAAACAAAGCTTGGAGAAACTGATTAACTTCACTCTTTTTGCATCTTAAGTAAGGATTAAGAAATCAAGTTATGAACCATATGTACTTTTAGGTCCTCAGTTTTTTTCTCAGGTGACTTAATATTTACTTGAACTGGGTATATTGACTTAGCGTTTAACTTGTCCTCTAGAAACAGATAACGTTTCAGATGTGTGTTTCACAAGGACATGCACGTATGGGTGACTTTAATAGATAATGCTCTCCTCATAGTGGAGACAATATCTGTATAAAGCAAAGCAGCTGTTCCTTTGCTAACAGCTTGTTGCAGTGTCTCCCTAAGCCTCCTTTCATTTCATTAATAGGTAAGATTCCTATTGAAAGAACCTTGAAGTTGGCACAAGATGCCCTAAGACGAAGATTTCAACACAAAGGAGGTTTATTTGCCCTAGAGGGATAAAGGTCAGGTAATAAGAGACAAAGATAGGGGATAGAGGATTAGGGAGAAGAGAAAAGGGGGACAAGTGAGAGAGGGAAGTGTTGTAATATGAGCAGCAGGCTGCTTCCCGCCACCCGGCTAGCTTTACCCGAAATAATTACACGGAAACTGTATTCTTTTAAACACCGCTTGGCTCATTATATCTAGCCTTTTCTCGGCTAACTCTCGCACCTGGACTAGCTCATTTCTAATAATGTGTGTAGCCCACAAGGTGGCTTACCAGAGAAGATCTTAACCTGCGTCTGTCAGGAGTGGGAGAATCATGGCGACTCCTTGACTCAGCTTCTTTCTCCCAGCATTCTGTTCTGTTTACTCCTCCCACCTGTGTTTTAACCTATGAGGCCAAGCAGTTTCTTTATTACTTAACCAATGAAATTAACACAAAACAGAAGACTCACCCCCCCATCAGGGAAGGAATATTTGATCTGAGGAGCAAAAGACTTCCTCTGAGTAGAGAGGCGATAGACTGTAGGCAAATGGCAGTTCACACAGGGAAGAGGAGAAACCCCGTGTTAGGATGCTGTTGGTTTGTTTTGATTGGGCATGTTAATTAGGATAGCCAAATGAGGGGCTTATGATTGCTGGACTTAAGTGCTTTAATAGCTGGATGTTGGTGTCAGCCTCAAGAGGAGGAAGTGGTCAAATAATGGAATGGACCTTGGTGGCTACCTTTAGGATTGTAATCTAATGGTTTAGCCAGGCAGAGGAATGGGAGAGAAGGGTTAAAGTTAAAACCCACAGGTGACATATTTGCCATGCTTGGGCTTGCTAGAGCCCTTCACCTATCAACTCATAATCCAGGCTGTGGCAGTAGCTAACTGCACTATCTGTTTGTAGTTTAAAGGACGTGAACTAATCACCTTAGTAACTTTGTTAAAAGTTTGGCTTCAATATGTAACTTTTTACATAGGTGTCTTCATGTAGGGAGAATTCTCTTTTGTTGCTCAAGTAATCCTGACAAGCTGGGAGGACTCCTTTGGACGTTTAGATGCTACCAACCCGTCTCATGCAAAGCCTTTAATTGGAGGCTGGAGAGATGGCTCAGAGGTTAAGAGCACTGACTGCTCTTCTAGAGGTCCTGAGTTCAATTCCCAGCAACCACATGGTGGCTCACAACCATCTGTAATGAGATCTGGAGCCCTCTTCTGGCCTGCAGGCATTCATGCAGACAGAACACTGTATATATAAATCTTAAAAAAAGATAACTATCAAGCTTGTGATTGGCTTAGATGGGAGCCAGACTGTGAACTCCAGCTGTTACAACCACCAGTACAATAGACGCTGCGGTTAGCACTGGGCATGCAGTGGTGCTTCCTGGAGTTTATGTCATATAGGAGAGGAGCAATGAAATAAATAATTATAAGAAGTAGTATAGGATATTGCTGGGAGCTGACCTTGTTGGTTTACTGGTTCCAGAGAGGATGCAAGGAGTAGGTGAAGGAAAGCTGAGCCAGGCCATGGATATTGGGGAAATCTCGCAGCCTTACTAATTGGCAGTCAGAGTACATCCTTATTTGTACAAAATTCAGTACTGTGATCGGGGATAACTTCATGTTGTTTATCTTTGGACAGAATTATCTTTTACAGTCATTTTCCCTCATCAATCACATAGCCCAACTTCTAGGCTGATCTTGTAGCTTCAAGGACACTAGACACAAAGAAAATCTATAAACTAGCCCAGGTAGATTGCTATATCCAAAGCACTGTATTATTGTTGTCAATAGGCCCAAGAAAAATACTCAGGCCAGTGCTGATGCTATAATTATTCAATTTTTAGCACAATAAAAGGATTGCATTTCATATCCTTAGAGGATTCATTTGTATCTTTAATCCTGTCATTCTTCTGCTCTGTGGTCATTTGACATCATAGTGGCTGTGTAGGAGTTAACTCTAAGAAAGGGAGGTCCTGACACCTCATTCTTTTATCATCTTTCTACACCATTTTTTGCCCACCAGGAAAG